GGTTCCTATGGCCAGGATCCTCACTGAACTTAAACTACCTCACGATGTAACTGGCCTGTTGCTAGGCTACTGCTTCCACACCTTTAGGCAAAAAGCAATTATTCTGCTATATAGAGAGCTCGGCCCAGTGCTCTGGGCGGAGGCAGAGACACTACTGCTCCACCTACCACCGGAAGAACAAGCGGAGTAATAAACCCTTTCACCCCAAAGAATGTTTTGCTATCAATTTCTTTGGTCACATTGAATACATAGCAAACTTGTCTGGGGCTGAAACCCATTGGCAAGACAATTGATGAAAGTCGACAGGGTTCATTGTTGACCAAGGAAAACGACAGGCTGCCCTTATGGAAGGGGTGCTTCAGCGGGCTGCCCCTGTGAATGGGGAGACAGTGGATCGTCCCCCAATGGGTATGTAGTCTGAGGTGGCTTGCCTCCTAGAGGACTGAGCCCCACCCCAGGACTGGAGGCAAGTGGAGGTGGCACCTGAGGCAGTAGGGGTGGCCCTTGGTATAGTAAGCAGATCCTTTGAGAAGCAGAGTGAGGGAGCGGGGACTGTGGGTTGGCTGCTTCTCACAGTATTAAAAAGGTTTACAGAGGAGACCCAAGAAATGGCAGCACAAGAACATGAGCTGCAAATTTCTGTGGATTCCCCAAGGAGGGAAATGGCATTGATGCGAGAGGAGGTGGCAGGAGAGCACCGGCAGCAAGGTGCCATGGGAGATGAGACGGCAGCACTGCCAGGTATTCTGAAGGAGGAAGACGCCATCAAGGAAAAAGATGAACTCCTGAGGGAAGCACAGGCAGAGGTGGCATGAGAACGTCAGTTGCAAAGCATTGAGGTGAACGTAAAAGACCTTCTGAAGACTGAGGTAGCATTGCTGCAAGGCAGCAGAAAAGGTAAAGACTGTAGCAGAGGAGGCACTTGGGGGAGGGGAGAGAAAGGCGCCATCAGCCCTGGAAATGGAGGAGCTGGGGAAGGATGAAGGGGTGATGCTGGAGGCACTGGTATCTCCTGTATTGAAAGCATGCCCAGTGGTTGTAAAGAAGACTTCTGTGGATTCCCTGAAGAAAGAGATGGGACCCAGCAGGTGAAAGTTCCCCAAGGAGAGGAGCAGCCCCCTCTCCAGGTCGTGGAGCACTCTATGGTCTTCCCCTATAGTTGTCTGCACTGACAGTTGGACTGTCTATTGGGGCTTGACCCTGTGGCTACCAACCTGGTACCATGCCAAATGGCTGGTTGGTCATCAACCCCTTTGGGGGCAAGAATTGTGGCAAAACTTATGGGCCAGTGGTCAGACTAAAATAATTACAGTATACCATGTGACAGGTCATTTGCCACTGGCATCCCCAGGAAATGATGAAGCAGATAAACTGGCCCAGATACATTGGTTAGAAGGAAAGCCTGCCTCTGATGTAGCCCAATGGCTACATCAGCGTTTGTTGCGTGTGGGGCAAAAGACAATGTGGGTGGTAGCCCCTTGGTGGGGCTTGCTTTTGACCTTCAAAGAAGTTAGTAGAGCCTGACAGGAGCGTGTTGTGTGCTCCAAAAAGGACTTACACCAAGTTCCAAAGCAAAATAGGACAATAGCTAAGGGGCATATACCACTCGTCAGGTGGCAGATAGACTATATTGGGCCTCTACCTGTGTCAGGAGAATATCGGTATGCGGTAACTTGTGTGGACACAGCTATTGGACTTCTGGTTGCTTTTCCTACCCGTTGTGCAGACCAGCAGGTGACCAAAAGAGGCCTGGAGCATCTCTTTGCTGCCTATGGCCAACCACAGGTGATTGAGAGTGATCAGGGCACCCATTTTACTGAACATACACTGCAAGAATGGGTGCGACAGCTGGGAATCAAATGGAAGTTTCATGTGCCATACAATCCTACCACAGCACGCATGATAGAGAGGTACAATGGCTTGTTAAAATTCAGACTACAGTCAGATACCAATAGTCTGCAGGGATGGTCAGTCCGCTTATGGACCGTGCTATGGCGTTTTAACTAGAGACCCCGAAAGGGAGCCCTGAACCCTGTAGACATGTTAACACATATGGCTGCCTCTCCTATACAACTGCAAGTACAAACCAAGGAAGAATCACTGGAGCCAAGGTTTGGCCACTAGAATAATATCTTGCTGCCAGCACCAACTGTACTGAACCCCGGAGACTCCAATGAGTGGACGTGGCCTTGGACCTTTTGGCACATGGACCAACAATGGCTGGCTCTCCTGTCACCTTGGGGACAAGGCCTGCAAGCTGGCCTCCTGTGTATTCCTGGAATAACAGTAGAGCGGCCGCCAAAGGTCACAGTAGTATATCCTGAACAGCCAGAAGGTCAGAGCATCTTACAGAGGAGTTTTATCATTATGGCCAGTGCATCCACCTCTAGTAGCACTATATATAGACTCTTCAGTTTACCCCCAAGGGGAAAGGAGTAAAAGTATGGTATACTAGACCTGGAAGGGACCCCCTTCCTGCTACAGTCCTATCACAGGACCACTCTCTTGCATGCACCCCATCTGATGGACAAGATTTGTCTATGTTGGTGGCATTAAAACATGTGTCTTATCACCCCTAAAGTCTTTGTGGATTGGGAACTTCCTCTGGCTTGAGGATTATTATAATTTTTGTTACCTGTACCAAAATCTTGCCATATATTAATTTTTATTATCTCTAAGTTTTTGTTATCCTCTGTTGCTATTGTGGAATCTGATTACATTGCTCCAGCTTTCTCACACAGGCACTACTGCAGAAGACTGAAAGCATGTAGATTGTGAGATGAGAATCCTGGAGGGGTTGAGTATGGGGAAGTTGGTTCCTATGCCAGGATTCTCACTGAACTTAAACCACCTGATGATGTAACTGGCCTGTTGCTAGGCTACCACTTCCACACCTTTAGGCAATAAGCTATTATCGCACTATATAGAGAGCTTGGCCCCATGCTCTGGGCGGAGGCAGAAACACTAGTGCTCCACCTAGTGCTGGGAAAATCAGCCAAGTAATAAACCCTTTCACCCCAAAGAACGTTTTGCTGTCAATTTCTTTGGTCACACTGAATCCATAGTGAACTTGCCCAGGGCTGAAACCCACTGGCAAGACAGCATATCTCATCATGGACATATACTTTGCATCATTTCAATGTTTTAAGAATGGAAATATCTTGCCTGCAGGTTTCAGTCCCAGACAAGTTCACTATGGATTCAGTAAGACTGAGAAATGACAATGGACTCAACTTGGGGTAAAAGGGTTTATACCCAGCTTTGTTCTCTCAGTAGGTCAAGCACTAGAATTATATCTGTATCCAGCAGTCTGCAGGTCTGTAATCCACCTCCACTCTGCCTCCACCCAGAACACTGGGCAGAGCTCTTTATATAGTGACTCAGTCAATAATAGTTTAATATTTCTCTTTATATAGTGACTTAGTCAATAATAGTTTAATATTTCCTATGGATATGGAAGCAGTAGCCTAGCAGTAGGTCAATTACATCATCAAGTAGTTTAAGGTCAGGTGAGGGTCCTGGCCAGAGGAACTTCCATTTTTCCCACAATAAATCAGGTGTAACTGTATTGAACAAACTATTGAAGTTTTATATAAATTACCTGTTGTCAGAAAAATGGCCCTCCCAAAGATGCCCATGCCCTAATCCTCAGAACCTGTGAATATGTTACATTACATGACAAATGTGACTTTGCAGATGTAATGAAGGTTAGAGACTTTCCTGGAGTACCTAGGTAGATTCAGTTGATTACATGAGCCATTAAAGGAGAAATCTTTCTCTGGCTAAGTCAGGAAAAATGCTAAAGAAGGGGAGTTTAAAGATATTTGAAGGATGAGAGGATTTTGACCCACTCTTGCTAGAGGGGGACCAGAAGGAATGTGACCAGTCTGTACAGAAGCAAAGACCAGCCACCAAAATGACAGCTGACAAGGAAATGGGGACCTCAGTCCTACAATCACAAGGAATTGAATTTGACCAGGAACCTGAAAGAATGTGAAAGCAGATACACCTTCAGAGCCTCCAGACAAGAACTCAATCCAGCCAATGCCAGGAGTTCAACCTTGTGATGTACTAGGCAGAGACTGAGAGAGCTGCACCACTGTACTCAACTTCTGACCTACAGAACTATGAGTAAGTACATTTATATTGTTTCAAGCCAGTCAGTTTGCAGTTATGTGTTATGACCACAATAGAAAAAGCAATATATTACCAAATGTCAGTATATTAAATTCCAGTATTCTATGGTTCTGAAACACAATAATCACTAAAATGATCAATTAAAATTGCACATTCCCAGAACCAATTCACATTTTACTTCCAAATGCTATAATAAAGACACAGGACAGTTCTACTCATAATTACTGGTATTTTTTTAATGTCATCTAAGAATTTCTAAGTATTTATCCTCTCCAACATTTACAATTTTAGCATTCATTTTTAAAAAGTGAATAGATAATTACTTTGTCAAGACTTTTTAAATCATCTTATCAATTGCATAGAGATCACTTTAGGTGAACATTGTTTTCCTAATACATTTCATGTTTTTTATTAAACCTGTATTTTATATAACCATATATTAGTCATATTAACAAAAGCCAGTGATCATTAATAGAACAGAATGAGTCAGTGCCAACAAAAATGTAGAAATATAAATGTTGCCTAAGACTTACAGGCCTCAAAAGTGCAAAGAATTCTGAGGCAAAAGTCACTCATATTTTTCACATAGAAGTACACATAGCTAATAGTATTGAGTTACTTTTTAAGAGGACTTTATTGATAGGATAACTATATTTTATTACTTATATTTCTTAAATTAGTAGCTCAGAGTTACATGTGGCTTTCTTGCAAGAATATCATAGTTCCTCCAGTTCCTGATCTGCAGAACACACTTAGGATGTTCCAAGTTCTACCTCCTCCAGACAGTGTTTCTAACAACAAGGCCAACAAAACCAGACTTTTCCAGAGACTCTACAATATAAAAATCTAGATTTGGCATATACTTACTTTCTCTGAGTTCTTTCAGCCAGCCTTGCAATTTCTATAGCTGCTTTCCTTGCTTCAAAATCTTCCCTTTTCACTACCTCTCCAGTCCCTCGGTAGCCTAGCTCCACCAGCTGGCGTGCCAGACCTTCATCCTAAAGAGAAAATCAATTGTTAGATTCGTAGATGAATGATAGATCTTATTTTATTCAATCTATACTGAAATTTGTTTTAAATGAAAAATCAAATTTATTATGTAAAAATGAAACAAGATCTACTAGATATGAAAAATTAGAATCCTAACAATACTGTTATAAACATCTGATTTATTATCCCTTTACCTTCATGCAAGATGAAAAAAAGAAAAGAAATAACTCAATCACTAAAATTTCTCTTAAGAAATTGGAGGACAAAAGTTTGTTGTGTTTTAATTTGAGAACAGCTGTAGATAATTAATAGAGTATCTTTAAAACAATAAAACTAGAAACAATAGTACTCATACAAAAAAAGACTTTTTAAATACCAATTGACAAAAAGAGAATTGGATTGCTTTCACAAAGTTAGGCATTTCGGAGACTTCCTTGAAGTCACTTAACCGATGACACAGAGCAATGTAACTTCAAATACAAAATAAAGAGCAGATGAATTTCCTATTTAACTAGAAAGATACTGTTTCCATATAATGGTGGTACTAAAAAACCAGAACAGTGGAAATCCAAGAAGATGACCACAAAAAGCTTCAAATTAAAAAAAAAAAAAATTTCCATAATCCTTCAGACCTTTTATATTTCAATTACTTTAAGAATCGTCTCACACTTTTATCACTTGCCTAGCATATTCAAAAAGAAATACTGTCTCCCCATAATTTGAAGAGTTGTCATTTTATATGAAGTTACCAATATAAAGACTAAAGTATTACATAAAAATACATATTAATGACAATCCTTAAATTAAATATCATCTTAAACATGAAATATCTTAAATATAAGTGAAAACAGTATAAATTTTATAACATTAATAACTTTAAGTGTTTCTTAATGCATCACTGTTGAATGCAAGAATTGTCTAACAGTATTAAATGAGAAAACTTATGACACCTGGTTAATAATCTATAACCCATAGTGGCTATTTTAAAGTTCCATCAGAACAAAACCAAAAAATTTAGATACTATCAACTTAGAAAACTTGCTACTTTGTGACACATTAAAAGCTAATGCTGAACTCTGTGTAGCCATGTGAATACATTTGCCAAGGGAATACAATGCGAAGTAGCAGACCACAGGAAAGGGATGTTTGTCTTCTTTGTGCCTAATGTTCCCCTGCTTTACTATACTGCTTCTCCCTAGCCGCTGCAGTGTGAACCACGAAACTGAGCAAATACCTCCACCTAGTGGAATTAATATTTAATAGAAAAAGCAATACAGATTTTGGGTTTGAGTTACAAAAGTGAGATGATTTGAGTAGAAATTTTCATAAATAAGTTACTAAAAGTGAGCTTACTGGAAGCACTCTCCCCTAAGCTTTGTGAGACTGGGATTCTTCTATAAGAATATAAACCGCTTGCAGTCAACAGAGTATTTTGTACAATAACCGGACTTAAAAAGTTGCTTATTAATTTTGTATATGTGTTGAATTATGTATTCCTGTGTGCCTTACCTGAGCCACACAAAATCATTTGGATAGTTCTGCACTCATATATACTAGCATATATTGTAACAAATGACAAAAACCTACTGAGAAAACAGAAAATTGAAATTGGTTGCCTCACCAACCATTACCATGTTCTAACTGGTGGAATCAAGAGTCCTCTCTCCATTTTGCAAGGCCATTATCTTTAAATAAGTTATCTTTAAAGAAACTAAAAAATAAAGTATTTTTATTTAATCACATACTTAGCATTTCTGATGTTTTCATTCTTTTGTGCAGCTCCAAGAAAATATATGACCTTCCCTCTACCTAAAACACTAACATTTATTGCAGGGTAGATCTGCTAACAACAAATTATCTTGCTTTTATTTGACTGAAAAGAAACCATTCACGTTAATTTTTGAAAGACATTTTTGCTTTATTAGTATTTCAGGTTGACTTTTTATCTTAAAGCGTCTTAAAGATGTCATAGCATACTATCCCATCACTCAGACCTAATGAGAGGTGTTCAGTCTCTCCTATCCTTGTTTTATTATACATAATGGGCCCTTTTTAGATTTCTTAAAATTTTCTTTTTCACTGGTTTTCAGCAATTTTAAGATATTCCTTGGAGATGTCTCTATGTTTATTTTCCTTGGAATACATTGTACTCCTCAAATATATTCTGTTCCCTACTCCCCTCTGATCCTTCTGGGATCCACTTACATTTTTTTTCTTGAGAGGCAAATATATCATAATTTTTATTAAACTCTAGTGGTTTTGATTATAACAGTTCATCTTAGCAAAAGCAAGTTATTAGCCTTGATAGTCGAAGTATAGAAATAAAGCAGTAGTCTTTTATTAATTGGTATTGCTTTTCTCATGGAACATGAGTCATAAACTTCTGGATGCTAGCACTTGGGGACTTCGGGGGTTTTAGTTATACGGAGACATTATGCCAAACAGAACCCAAAGATGACTCACCCCTAAAGAGAAGGCTTCTTTACTATATGCGAACAGTAAAAGAAGTGGCAATGGTAGACGCCACCCAGGTAGGCAGCAAATGCCTGTGAGGGCTGCATCCTGAAGAGATGGTTGGCTCTTATCCCGCGACAAATTTTAAATCTCAGCTGCTGGGAGAAACACTGGGCCCGGAGGACGTGCAGTGGAACAGAGCCTTCAGGTTACGGCAGCCTGAGGCCTTGGAAGATGTTGGATTGGGTCACCGGGATTCCCTGCCCCATGCCCGCGACGTTGCCCAGGCCTCTACGGGCTCTTGAAAGGCTCTAGATTTTAGGCCGCACACGCGCAGTTCGCTCCCGGACTGGTTTCCGGCGGCACCGCCCTCATGCGCAGCCCCTGTTCCCCTCCAGGTGCCCGCTCGCCTCCTGCGAAGCGTCTCCTAGGCGGAGTTTCTCTGGGCGGGGCGGGGGCGAGGCTACGAGGGTTCGGGCCTGCGTGTCAGGTGACGTGAACCAGGCTCCTTAAAGATGAGTCTTGGACAAGGAGCAGCCCGTTTCCAGGGCATCCGGCTGCTTCTTGTATGAAGAAAAGAGTCTACGCCACTAGACCGTTTGTCGTTGTGCCGCAGACTGCGGCTCGGTTGGTTTGTTTGTGTCTTTTATTGTGTTGTTTATTGCTGGAAAACAGAGTTATTGTTGTAGTTCAATCAACGTTTCTTTAATAAACTCACCACTTTATTCTAATAGGGTTGCAGTTAATTTTCTTGCATTTTCATGGTAGATAATCATACTACCTCTAAATAATATTTTGACTTCTTCCATATATTTATGACACTTTTTTTTCACTGTAGCATTGTTTTGGCCAGACTTCCAATAAAGAGTACCAGCAAGCATTTTTATCATGTTTCTGATATGAATGCTAAACTTCCAAATGTTTAACCACTGAATAAGTTTGCCACAAGCGTTTACTAAATACTCTATCAAATTCCAGTATGAGTGAGTTTAGAATTTTATGCTGTGCTTTTTCAGCATCTATGTAGATTAACTTTTTTTTAATCTGTTAATGTCATGAGCTCATCCTTGCGTTCCTATTCTAAATCACACTACCCTCTGATCTGTTATTTCTTAATATATTCCTGGATTCACTTTACATTTTTCATCCAAGTCATAGGTAAAATTAGTCTAGCTATTTTTGTGCTGTCATTTTCTGAGTTGATGTCAGGGTTACACAAGTCTTATAAGATGATAAGATGATTCAAGAAAATTATATCCTTTTTATTAATTTTTAATTATGTAAACCAGACATAAATGCATTCTTCTTGTGAAAAATTATAACTTGGCTTATAAGTAGTGAATTTGTACTCTTTTAAATTAACCTGGAATTTAGTTTCTCTTCCTTAGATAGTTACAGATTAGGTTAGACTACAATAGACATTTTCAGTTGATTTGGAAGATAGAAGGGAAGGAGCAGCCATTCGTTCTACATCGTACAGGGTTTGTCCTTCAGCTTCTCCTGCTCTTGAGCCATGTGCATGTTTATTTTAGCTTTGTGACTAAAGGTGCCATCTTCTGCAGATCACCCCTGTCATCAAAGTTAGAGTGGAGGAGGTGAAGGCATAACAGAAGTTCTATTTTGTCCTTGAGAATTCTAGCTGATTCTTATAAGTCTGATTGCCCTTGCTCCCTCAACTTCCCCCTTCCTGGCTGTCTGTCCTAATGACTTTAGGCTCCAGCACCAGACTCCAAAGAAACAGCCTTTTATTGACTATTTAAACAGTTCTCATGATTGTGTAAGGTCAAATCTCTATAAAAATTATATACATGTAACACACATGTACATATACATATGTGTGTGTATGTTTTCTGTTCCTCTGATTGAACCATGAATGATTCATGGCTACTAACAATGGTTGCAGAGGAATAGAAATTTAAGGATGAGTTCTCTGAATTGGTTCTGGGTTAACTGGAATTGGTTCTCTGATTTTAATTAAAAGCCCTATTTGTAATGGTAAAAAGTACACTGTAGTCTATGGGATGCAGAGGCAAAAGTTCTTTATCACCTTTAGATACTTGTACTAGAAAAAAGTCTTTGAGTAACCAAGTGTTCGCTGCCAGGGAACATTTTAGTGGCAATAAGAAATTTAACGGGGTTGGTTGATGGAAGAAAATATCCACTGCTAACCCGCAGCATAGTATGGAGAGAATTTGAAGGAAAAAATACCAATCTCTCCCCTCTCTTGGCTTCTAATTTCTTTTTGGTGCCTCTTATTGGCTGAACCCAGCTGGCCAGAGGGAATGGGAGCCCAGCCGGAGCAGTCAACAAAGTCAGCCTCCTGGAACACAGAGCACAGGGCAGGTTGGGGTAGGATAGACTGTAGATCTCAAGGGCCAAACAGAGAATATCTAATACAAACACAGAATTATAGGCTCCAAGTAAAAATTTCTAAGACATTTAAGATATTACTACATTTTCTTCTAGGAATTACTACTGGGAATGCCAAGTATAAGATCAAGCTATCATTTATAGGTAAGTTGTTGACACTCTGAATCTTTTTTTAATTGTGGTA